ATGTTCAGAGTTTATTAAAATAAAAATCAAGTGGTTTGTCCGCTCTCCGCACTGTCGAGCAAATTTTGAAGCGAAATTTTCCATTTTAATCGCTGTAGGGCATAACAACCAGAAAAACTCCCGTGCTTTATACCCCTAAAAACTTTTTTATCTCTTTTATGTAAAACATTAGCCAAATTTTAAATAAAATAATCTATTTACTAAAAAGGTGTATTTTAACTGAAACATACAAGAGAATGTAAATAAATTTGTCAGATATACAGTAAAATACAATACACAATATAGTATATTCCACTAACAATATTGAAAGATCTATAACTAATATTTCTAAAAATCTGAGAATAGATTTCTTTGAATAATCAATAACAAATACTAATAATTAAGGAATCGCTCCAGCATATTGTTTTTTAAAATTTGTTTAATGTACATACGCAGGACCAAACAAAAAATATTGAAATTAAATTATATGCATTGAAAACTATTATTTTAGATATAAAATAAGAGCCTACAGTTTAAGTTTTCACATGTATATTAACTTCCCTAATTCCCGCTATCAGTTACATTTTTAATGCCTTCTATACAGTATCATGTCATACAATTCACCACTATGTATGTATATGGTTTTTTTATTTCAAATATAAAGACTGGTAATGTCAGCTAAATAAAAAAAAAAAAACGAAAAAACTTCATTTCAATTTTGTCAACTGCATTTGGTACACTCTTTCAGAAATTATAAACTGTAACAGAAAGAATTAAAAATATAGGTGAAGATATTTTGTAAAACAATGCATAGCTAAATTCCCCAATTAATAATATGTATAGGTATATAGATATTTGATGAGGTTTTTTAACTAAGTATATTTTGGAACAAAATAAATTCAGAATTTATCAAAATAAGATTACTATAATAGGTATAAAATGTTTACAAGTTTAGTTTGTACTCGAGTTCAATAATGAAGAGACATTTTTCTTTAAACTTTTTGTCAAATTCAAGACACTGGCAAATCTAGTCGAAACCGATACATTTTCCATGAAAATTCGAGAAAGACCAAATTAATGCATTGAACAGGATATCAAACAGAAAACATACATTGTACATAAAACTGAACTTGTCGAACAATTCATATTTGCTACTGACAAAATGTGAAATTCAAAGAACAATGTTAAATTATCTTCTGTTAAAAATGAATAAGTGAGCTCTACGTTGTATGATATATCAAGATGTTAAACATTTCGCCATAACTGAAGCAAACTTTCTTTATACTAAAAAAAAGAAATCGAGCTGAAAATATTAAAAAAATTATTGTCAATGCAAAGAAAACTGAATTTACATTTGAATTTGCATGTCAATGTTATGTTACACCAATATTTAAGTTAGAATACTTTCCCAGCTTTAAAATAAAATGTAGGTTAGGGTATTTTATTTAGTTTTATAACTAATTAGATTTATATAACTTTCTAATATTCTTTGATAAGTTTTGTCATAAAAGTTTCTGATATATCCATTTAAAAAAGTGATACTTAAGAAAAACTACCAAGACTGGTATATTCCATGTAAAATCTTACCGGTTCTAATTTCTCAATATATGGCAGGATTCTTCTGCATTTGACTGATCCAAAACAGTCATGATTTTTTTTATAGCAAGAAAAATAGTGTTACAGTGTTCATATATCCTTAAATTATAAAGGCAAAAGCATTCACAGTATTTGTTTAGAAAATATATTAAAAACTCTAAATGTTAAGGATAAATTACACAACACATTAAGAATTTAGTAACTCGATGAATAACGTTTACCCAATAGTGACGTTGCTAACACAGCCTTACGAAAAAGTTATCTTATTCGTTTAAAAAAAATAATAATAATAATGAATATTTTATAGACATATTACTCCTTAAAATATGATAATATAGTACTATTATTAATAAATACGCCGGAAGCAAATTTGCCATACTTTGTATGACTTGGATGAAGATAAAACAATTTAGATCAATTTAGCTTGGCACAAATTGCTTCCTTAAAGAATTATAGACCTTTAAACAATTTTTCAAATAACTTATTTTTTGAGTTTCTATGAAACTTGACAATGTGCTTTTTGGGGTAGTTGGGGTCAGTTTTGGGATTTTCACCTACTATTTAGAGGCTGCCAGGTTTATTTGTAGTGATATATTGTCTTCTTTTTGTTGGTAGTAATTTTCAGAAAATTAAGAGATTTTTGGAATATCACTTCATTTACCGTAAAGTTCCAGAAAAAAAAATGGATTTCAGTTTTTCACTGTAATTATTGTCATGGATAGTCGAGTATTGGAAGGCATTATAGTCGAATTAAACATCATCGTTTTGCAAAACTTGCAGCGTAATTTTGAGGTTTGAACTGGTTTCTCCAATCAAATCTTGTTTTTTGCTTGTAAGTCGATAAAGGTAAGTTGATTTAATAGTGAAAAAGGTTCAATAAAGTTACAAATTTAACAAAAGAATGGTGGTTAATTAGACTAGAATATTGCCAAATTTTCAGTTTTCCATAACTGATAATTACGGTAGCAAATTCAAAAGAAGAATGAGTGTCAATTTTACATCTGATTGGTAATTCAAAGGAATAACGAATTGTTAAGAGTAATTCTGCGGCTTCAAAGGTTGTGAACTTATGATCTTGGATTTAACATTGAATCTGTAACAGAAATGCCGATTTTTTGACTTTTGACAGAAATGAAATTTTTAAATAGTAAATAATAAAGAAACTTCAAAATCTGTTTGGGGTCAACTATGTTTTTCAAATGATAACCCCTACTTTTAGCAGTTTCGACTTACAAAAGAGATGCAGAATCAACCTTGGGACGATCTTCAAAGGTCACTTTTTACCAAAAACTGAACTATTTATTCCGACGTAAAATTTTAATTTAATTTCTGAAGTAAAAATAGTCGTTTCTGTTACAATAAATGAGTTGTCATTCTAAATGACCTTGAGAAGGGCCAAGCTCAAATCCAAGGTCATAAGTTCACAACCTCTGAAAAATAATGTTTTCATTAAAAAAATAATTTGACCTTCAAGTAAGCTGTGGGTGAAGGGCAAATCCAAGGTCATCAGGAGGTGACCCCCTCTCTGGATTGACTGGTGAAATTAAAATGTCTCACCCTGTATATATATATATATATAATACT